GGACTTAGACGGAATACCGAGCAGATTGCTTATGTTCTGTTGGTTCAGGACATCCACCTGTTTCCCTTTCAACGAATTCGTTGTTTACTCCCATGTTATTAAATGTTATAGATAGGGCATCCAATTGCTTAAGAGTGTCCTTCCTGGGAATGTATACCGTGGCTGGAAGACCAATAGATTGGTTACGCATCATTGCAGCGTTGGTTTTCGCATAAGTTGTGGGTGTGGAAATGGAAACAGCAGCTGCCGATTTTGCCGTGTTCTTTGATGTCACTACGGCTCAACTGCCACTGCTTCCTGGATTTCGACGAAGCCTGGAGGGAGAAATGGGTTTGGGAAAATTGTTGCAAATGGATTATCAGTGATGTGTTCGGAAACACTTGGGCGGTTTGGATAACTGGCAGTGGTTGCAGCAGCAAGTTTCTAAGTTAACATCCGAAGTTGTGGAGTTAGCTTGCACTTGAGTTGCGTTGAGAGGCCTGTGTCAGACATTCTGTTATACGTGTTCCTACTGAAGCTATTTTGGTGCCCAAAATTTTCTCTACCACTTCTGCCAGCCTATCATACTTCCTGGACAGTGCAATTACGGTTTCAACTAGTATGATAGCATTACACTTCACGCAGAACCGAAAAGAGTTTGGCCAGTTGTTTATCATCCTAAACTCCTTTGGTTTGATTTTTCCACTCCTGACGCGAAAATGGCTTGGTCAGTTTCCACATAAAAACCTTATTTTGACCATCTTATTGCACGTTCCACAGGCGCCTTTAGGCATTGCGAATCTGCCATCCGCGTTCACCAGGACCCTGGATTGCTAGTTTCGGGGTCAAGGTCAGCTCCTCAAGACTGATGGCTGTCTCAGTGCTTCTCTCTCGTGGTCACGCGCAGATTGCCGGATTAGGTGGTGCGCACACGAGCACCTGAGCACACGAAGACTCGGCGTATATCAATCGGTTTGTGTTACGCGACGATGCACGCAGGAAGTTGGCAAGCGTCCCTGAGTATCTCGGATGCGATTTTTAGTGAATCAGCGAAGCAACATTTCTCGCAACTTCGTTATGTTGCGGCCGGTAGGGATGGTTTCAGGGTCGTTTGAGACAGCTCAGCTACTGTTTCCGAATGAGACCAAAAGTATCCTCGAAAGCTCAGGAGTGATGTGACTTTGCACGCAGAGCTCGGCAAATGATGTGCCAAAACTGTGAGCGGGAGTAACGGTATGATCCACACAGGTTAGATACCAGAGATGGGAAGCACTGAGTAGCGCTCGTCGAACTGGTTAGAAAGAGCGAATTGAAATGGCCAAAATGGGGGAAGCATGTGCCGAGATAAATTGCGACCGAATTGTGGGTGGTCAATCTGGTCGACTGTGATTCAGAACCCTGTGCTGTAACCACCGAAAAAAATACAGTTAGTCAAAAAACAGGTAAAAAATATAGAAAAGAATGCAGCTCAAAAGCACCAGCTCAAAATTAACTGAAGTAGGATATCACTACAACAAATAAGCGTTAAGTGTTACGTGTAAACGAGCCATTCGAATTAGTCGCAGGTTAGGATACAAATATCTCTGATGGTCGCCTCCATGATATAAACAATAACCCAAGTTTTAATCGGGAACATATCACACAAATTCATTTTTGATAGGTTTTGTGTTAACAAGTAGTTCTGTAACGCTCAACCGATTCGAAGAAATATTATAAAGTTGTCAGAATTATTCCCATGAAACAATAGTTCCGTCTTTACTCTAAGCAGATTACGTAAAGACACCAGGAGTACATACATTTTTGAGTTTACCTTTTTAAAGCGCTATACATCATCATCGAGTGGATTATGGGTCAGAGAAATACACAAACAGCGGATGTTATGTTAATGGAATGTGTGTCTTGCTCCAGTGAAAATGCAAAACAAAGCTAGCGCATTCTTCCTTGTCACGGATTTTATTCGATTAGCCGGAACACCCACAGTTGTTGGATCTGCAAGGAAAGATTCCCTTGTTGACATTTAAATTATATTTTTTGCCGTCACCAACTGATCGGGCTAATGCTATCATACTTTCCCCTATTCTTATTTATAGGCGCATCACACAGCCCACTGTACGACGTGTTCCACGATGGAGGGTATGCAAGCCCCGCGGTGGACGCAGTTTGCACCACAAGTGATGTGTCGAAGCTGGAGAACGAGTTTCGAAATCAGGCGGCAGAGAACATACTCACAGTGATTCGTATGAGAGGCGTGGAGTCACACGCACCACCGGAGCAAAGGTATTAACAATGTTTGGGCGCCGATATTTCAAACCAAACAGAAACAACCCACGACAAATCGTTTTAGCCCAGAAGTTGAGGGCAACGCTTGACATGTCGCAGCGTTAGTAATAGTTCCATTCAAGCAAATGGTTGCATAAGGCAAATAGAATGGGGCCTGTTTGAAAGAAGTGGCGGCCAATCCCCAGAACTGTAAAAGTAAAAGTCCTACCGTAATGCTCGGTGACGCTCTATTAGCAGCCGATTTGAGATAGACAAGTTTAGCTGTCTTTCCGACTGACTGTAACTACGGAAAGCAATCCCAAGCATTACCCGACATAATGCAAACTTCCTGAGCTGTAAAGAAGCTATCATGCATGTTTGTGTATTCTAGTGTAAAAATTTCCAAGGAGTACGGTTGTGTTGTCTTCAAGTATGGGCTTCCGCCTGCTTACATTGTGTTTCGGGATCAGCGTTAACTCACTAGTTCATCTCGATGCTTTCCAGATAACCAATAGCTAAAGCGTAACCTCAGCTTCAGACAGCTTTCCTAGTAAAAATGTAAGTAGCTCGGCGAAGACTTACGTAGCACCGACCTGCATGAATTTATGTTCTTCCACCACGTTAATAACTGACTGTCAGACCGGTGTTCGAATACCTCGCGTCCAGCGATCACATGATTTAGTGCGCTGCATATCCGCATGTTCATCTCCACACAGACGTGCTCAACAACCGGATCTGGCCTCACGCTAACAGGGAACATCGTAGTGTACTCCACCAATTGGGGTGTGAAGCCCCCATTTCGAATCGCCTTCATTCAATAACACACTTTCTATGGAATTTTAACAAATGCCGTTGCCTGGACCCGGAATGACAGCTTTACCCAACAGTAATTTGGATTAAGGTTGTGAGCAAAAACAATGTTTGTTAAGAAACTAAACCATCACATCTGCTGCTGAATAGATGCAGCCCAGGTAGAGCAGACACCAAAAGCACAAAGTGACTGGTTTCACCGTCCCTGTACTCGACTTTTGTTTCACGCGCTCAGCCCCATGGGAAGAAGTATTCATATATCGCTGCCCAGACTAAACATCAGGACATACTACTTCATGTAAATCGAAATAACATTTGAGAAGGTGATATTAGGGAAAGTGAGCCACACGGGGGTTGAATGCAAATCTGGTCCAGTTACGCTTCATCTTTCCCAGCGGTAGCAGAACTATCGTTCCCACGAGCAACGACTGCCTGCAAAAAGCATAATGATGGTCTGTATAACCGAATTCACTCATCCCCCTTACTGAGAAAACAAACAGTTGGAGTGTACGAAGGAGCCTCACTAACGAACCAACATCTGCGTCTGCATCAGCCGTGATAGTCACGTGGTAAGCACAGGTACATAAGTTTCCCTGACACACCACATCACACAACATACCGGTGCACAACGTATTTGTTTGCGGACACAAACGAGCTTAAATAGTTTGGTCTGGATATATGCCCCGAGTGCAGCTGTAGTCGTTACCTAATGAGGCAAACATCTCGGCAGGAGCCAATTTGTCGTACATTCCAAAAAATACCTTTTTGCTTCCCTTTACGAGTGCGAGGGGGAATTCGAATTGCATAAATAGATTTTCATCACACCTAAACTCAGGCAAACAGCCATCACACTGCATAGGTTCGCCTACACACGCACTGTTAATAGGCGAAGGCCCATAGACGGAGAGAGGACTACCGGGTCACAACCTAACCGCTACATCACCTACGGTCCCAGTGATTGAATTGGACAAAGTTTACTTCAGTGGGATGGCGTTCATGATCATATATTTTCGACAAATTCATGCATAGCCCTAGGTCTAGGCATTACATAAAAACGCCGAGATTGGACAAATGAACCGGCGTAATAATATTGAGACAGTAGTAAAATTAAATGCCGAGGCTGATGTTGCATTCATGATGCTTGCCCACCACATTTGGGCTAAACCAACTTATACTTAAACTAGGTATTTTAAGCTGGATAAATTTTATTCCACTTGCGTTAGTATGTTCCGCCTACCCGAATAAATTTCTATTAACCGTCCACGTCGCTTATGGTAACTGTGGTTATCGTAATCTATGTTGTGTTTGTGGTATTTTTGAGCAATTTCTGGACATTTGTACTTATTCCGGATTCGTTGATAATCAGCTTACTTTATATGCTAATTTAGCGAAGAGTTATGTCGGCATAGCCGTACGCTTTAACAGATGTATTTTATTTCCTAATCTTATTTCAAGGGATTGGCTGTTGTTTGATATCCCCGGTGTGGTTGCGCTTGACATGCATGTTGGCAAGATGCCTACTTCAGTTTTACCCACCACCTCCTCCATACTGGCTCCAGGAGACAGTTGGTCGTTTCTGGAGCGGACGGGATGCACGGTCCTTGTGGTCATGCTAGGCTCGAAGATTGGTTCCGTGCACTCCGTGTGGAGCGGATCAAAGTTCAGCCACCGCCTTGTGTGGGCTTAACTGCCAACTACAGCGTACTTGTGTTTGTCTGTGAAGGAGTGTGGGCCGGCTCCGTTGATGAAACGCGGCTCCCATCCACATGCCTCCCTGTGTTATTCCTTCCGATTTACACTGGATATGGGGTGTGTGGTTGGAGCTGTGGGTGGTGCTATGGGTGGTTCCTCTGTAGGCGCAGGCGTCCTGTGATTGGTAACAGTGACAGGCAAGTCCGAAACCGACTGCCCCCAACCATGCTTCGTGACATGTCGCATGGAAATCCCTTCACTCAACGAGTGCTTCAAAATGAGCCTCCAAAGATAGATAACATTTGTTTACGTCATGGCAGACTACAATATGCTGGCGTCTGACTTTCCAACAGTCACAAAGCTACACAGATTGATGCGTAAAAGCACAGTACATAGACTACGCGAAAGCCGATGTGGAGAGAGGAGGAAAGTTAGTCACCGTCTTTGATCGAGGTGACCTAGGTTCATGATAAGGAGAAAGGTTTGCAGTGGCACCTGCTGGTTACACAATTTGGTTGCCTTAGCCTGATTACAATGTAGCCTGAACATCGTCTAGTCGCCTTACTCCTAATTTCTTGCTAGCAACTTGCTGATTTTCTGCTTAGAATGCAATGTATCCAATTCGGTTTGCTAAATGTACAGTTTGTTTTGCAAAACTTCCAAAGTGGTTTGCAAAACGTGCAAAATGTTTGTTTTTAACCCATGTTAAAGTGAAAAGGGTATATTTGCTGTAAGTTATCCAATACGTTGGTGAATTGCCTCAAATGCCACTGGTGACATTCTTTTTCACAAACATTTCAGAATACGGTCTGCGCTATTTGCTGTCAACGGGACACATCACCTCGTATCATTTCTTACCCGCCTTGTGCCTAGTCCAGACTGGTGTACTGGCCTGTCTCGAGTTGATATTTGTCTGCCTAACTGCTCTTGGCCACTGCATCTACAATTTCGGCTGGAACCCTGGGATGCAGGTGTCATAGCTGGAGACACTTATTTGCCCTCGGACCAACCCGAGAGATTGCGTGAACCAAAGCCAATGTGTCCAATCACACCAGAACTACGACCAAACACCCCATTCACAGTGCTTACTGACTACATGCCGGTGTCAGCAGGTCTTTCGTCAACTGTAGAAGCGGTTGACCGCCCATTTGGCCCTACGAACAGGGACGAGCCCGAACTTATCAGCGCGGGACTGGATAGCTTTATAGATCCTAAATTGTCACCTAAGCTTCAAGAACAAATACGACTGATGCACTCTACAGCGAATGGAAGGATTCGAAGGCGTTTCGCAAGGTTGGGGACGGTGTACTTAGAACTTCTCAGAATAAATGAGGTAAGATCCTAATTCGACGGGGATCAGCGTTTATTATCTGATACACACAGTATTAATGTACGGAAAGTACCATCTGAGAGTATAGTGTCATTCAGAACTGCTGACTAATGAATTTGTATGCTTAAACGCATACCATCCTGAACCAACCCCATCCTTTAGATAACATAAGAGCGAATAGCTATATTAAATAGCCAAGCAACGTAAGCATTTGTCTTTGGGCACTTAATGTAAAATAATGTGTAAGTAACTAAAGGCATCGAGGTACTCCGGCGTTAGGTCGACAGCATACACGTGCCTGTGCAGGACGCGCTCTGCTCTGTTAAGTGCATGAAACTCGCCCCTTAATTGGCCGAAATTTACTCGTCAACCTTTCTCACAAGCTGAGCAGAAGCACGTCTGATTACAAGTTTGTTCATCTGCATATATTCGTTCTATTTTCTGGGCTCCTATATGACTTATAATGAAGGGTGGACCTGGTTGTTTAAATGTAACTGTTGTGCAAAGATGCGACCTCAGTGGTTAACCTTTTCGTGCCTGCAAATGAACGATGAATGATGTCATACCGGGGTCCACTTGTAAACTATGATTGTCCACTGCCACATAAAAAGTGGCTTAAGCTACGGGGTAGTACAACGCATAGATCATGCAGCTGAGAGCCCTCCGCCAATGAGTGGGTGAGGGAAAATAAAACTGCACAGATGTAAGTATGGACAGCCAGAGTTGGGCGCATGAACATCCGTCGGAAATGGTATTTCATATGCCATACACTTCACAGAATAAAGAAAAACAAGTTATTCGTTACTCGCGACGTACTCATCGGTATGGATTTCTGATGTTACTAAATGAAAGAATTCGCAGTATTTGCCAAGTGAGATAGCATCAACACACTTGGGGAAGTACTAGACAGCCGTTCCCTTCTGTCTGCACTCGTGTCCGGACAAGCGCGCATCCTTCGGCTCCAACAGGATGTCAGCCCATGACAACTAGTGGCTTATGCCACTAGTCAACAGCTCATGCCATTGAACAACGCATGATGGCAGCAGACTGCCATGACATACAAGCTAAATGCGATGTAGCGCCATTCATCTTTCACAGTCACACACACACACACTGCGAAAATTGCATAGAACAAGTCTGGCCCATACATCCACAGTTTTCACAAGTCGTCCAATCGGTCATGCGGTTTACAAGTACCACAAAAGATCTTATTAAAGTAGCGAAAGTGGTAAATTGGCTGATGTATGCTCACGGTAAAGACCCAGACATAATCCGAGATAACAAGAGTAGCTAACCCTTCTCGTGATTCCCACACTCTTGGTGATGCTGTGCGGGGACTTCAGTGCATATTATCAGCAAGTTAACTGGACTCTTGGATCACTGCTACCTGCGTCGACATCCGTACATTTCGAAGCCCCATTTTGCCTCACACAGGATTCATAAAGAAAAACTTAAGTGTCAATGCAACTCGGGTAGTTCGGCCATATCTTAAACTTACTTGCTTTTGATGCATACTAGGTACTGGGTTTTTAATTTTACCTGAGGCACTTGCATTGATTTAAGCACACACGGCGGTGTGGCAAATCGAGTACTGAAAGAAATGATTTGCCCTTTCACCGCATTTTGCAATATCCCGCATCTCTTCAGCCAAAACAATGAAAAGCGACTGTCAGTGATGTATTTTATACCAAGCTAGAAGTGCCGGGGTTGTGGCAATAAGTAAACTTCATGGTGCTCCCCCAAATTGATTGGATAGTCCACTAGGTCTACGGCGTAGACAAGGTTCAGTAGGTGAAGATTCGTGGCAGTCAGACTCTGGCAGACAGTCACAACACATCCAGGAAAGTGCTAGACGGTCGTTTTGTTCCATTGCTACTCGTCAGCAGGTCGCACACGCCAAATCCTGCCTCATTCGAACCCACGACCTTACTGTTGAGAGCCAGCGTCCTGTCACTGAGCCATGGGCGACGGCAACGGACCAACATGACTGATATCTAACTGTGATACAGCGTGACACATCTTTCACTCTCATGCATGTTATGAACGTGCAGAGCACAGGCCTGGCAACCCCCGACCAACGTCTTCCTTCGCAAGCCGCCACCAATCGAGGTGGCATGTAAGCTGCTAATTCGACTACTGATTATTTGTAAGTAGCATGGGGATTTATTAGGTTTTGTGAAGGCACGTTTTCCGAGTTGGATACCTGGCTACTTCTAATTGGTGGCCTCGAGCATTCAAGGGCAGTGTTTTGTGGTACATCTAGTAGGCTAGCTGCTTAGCACATCAAGAGCTCAAATTGTACCTTAGGGGATACGAAAGTACATGGTATCTAATTAGTGCCCGGTTTGGTGGAGCAAATGTCGAATTCCCGATAGAAGATGCAACCAGGTAGCAACATCATAAAAATCGGGAGATGTATGGTGCTGGAACTTATCCCAACAACAAATAAGAATGAAAGGAGAGAGCTCCAAACATAAAGAAAATATTTTATAAATCCGAAGTGTTGTGTTGTTACGCTGTGCAGTTTCTATGGCCTATCCGATAGTAGGAATCCATTTTACAGCAAACTACGCTTACAGCACCGTATCCTTGGAGCTCAAAGTCTAAGATTACTTGTTATTAGTGCCCATTGCGATGTGAAAACAAACCAGCATACCATTTCCAATGGAATGTGACTTCAGTAATACTCTGCCAATCACTGCTCCACCCTCAAAACCACCGTTTTAGGGCCCACTGCATTGTGACTTTAAACGCGGAACAAAAGTATCCGTTGTGCTGAGGAAATCACAAGTGTTAATCTTGCTTGTACGATTCGAATGTATTCTAATTTGTGTTGTAGTAGCAGTCGGTTCTTTAGAATAGTCCCATTAAAGGAATTAAACCCGAAGCATACTTTACAGCTGCACGTTAAATTGTATTCCAGGTAGTGCGCTGCTCGTGGTACAACCCAAATCATTATTTCTGTTTAGATCAGTCCATTCCACTTGAGTTATAACTGCTTCGACTAGGACGTGGAGGGATTCTGATGAATATTTTATAATTCATTTGGCTTTGAAACGGTTCTTAAATTTAAGTGACCTCAAACCACGTTCTATTTTTCTGTTAATGGTATCAATGTAGGTAGTGGCAAGTGAATGATTGCTAAAGTAACTGTTTTAAATGAAACCACTGCGGCCACTAAACTAAAATCATCCATATTTCAGAATGACGCATGTAATCCTGAGCCCCTACAAGATGATCAGGGCATCCAGCGAGGAATCCCGACTTCAGTCGAAGCAAGTGCATCTGACCACTGCAAACTCAGCTCATGGTCAAAATGGGGACCCTGCAGCACTGTGGATATCAACTCTTGTCCGACACCGGAAGCCAAAACCTACTGGTCAAAAAGGTTGCCACGCACTCAGCGTACACGTTTCATCTTGCCACCTTCGAAATCCATTGACTGTGGCGGTGTACCATTGAGGGTAAGCATACTACTGGTTTTGGACACACAACGACAATAACAAACATTTTGCGGTGAAAGCAAGTGGAATACCTTGTGCGAGACAGCTTCAACTGTTTACAAACCGATTTGCACTACCCTATAATGATAAATTAATGGAATAAGTTAGCAATTATAACTGTTCAATGAGAAAATTGACCAATACTGACAAAACACCCAAGCATGGTTAGTGAGTGTAGAACAGACTTGTCGTTCAGAACAGCCATCAGCCTGATGTCTAAGCGAATTCTGAGGAGCAGGCCGCCCTAGGCGGCATTATCACTACCGTCGATTATTCGACAACAAATATAAAGGACAAATATCCAGACAAGGTAAGGGCTGAAGATTTTCATCATACTCTATATGACTAACAACATATTTACGCTATAACTGAATAGATAAATGTGTCACACCCGTGCAAACATACTTCCCAGTGATCCTCTTACTTGTCCCGTTGTGGTCACTTCCAGTACAGTTACCTCAGTGTCCCCAAGGATCATCCATTTCATCGAAAACTACTCTGTGCGCTTTACCCTCAGCCGATTGTGTGGCCTTCACGTGCATACTCTGCCCTCAGTCAAGGCAAAAATTTTAATACTGCCCCGGGCGGCGAAATTAGTTGCTGCGCCGCTGCACTCATGCCAGCAAACATGCGAATTTGATTGACACTCTTACTTGTGTGTCCAGTACCTTCCATGTAAATTTACCGATGGGTGTTTAGATGTAGTCGTTCGGTCCATCCCAACAAGCGCACTCAAAACTTTAGCAATAATAAGGAGACAATTTTTTATTCTACACCTAATTTTTATAAAAAAAATATTTATATGCTAATGTATGCGAGCAATATTTTGCAATGATCGTTTGACTCCAAACAAGTGACTTGGTTATTTACAAAAACTTAAGATATAAAACAATATAAACAGTACGCCGGTGCAGGGAAGTTACTTTAGAGTTTCGTTCATTTCAGTCACCCCTCAGTCATACATGCTCCCACACCTCTGCGAAAGCACCAGAAAGCCGTTTCGAGTTTCTGTGTTTCGTCAGTGAAGCCTACCTAAGCTAGGCTGTCATGCGAACACCATCGATCGCGTGTGGGTTGGGTGTACCGCGATGTCGTCCGCACCTACACGGATTCGAACCGGTGGCCTCCGAAATGTAATAAAGCAGGCGCGTTATCAGTGCGGCCACCGCTGAAGCGAATGCACAAGAGACATAATAAAGTTCCTACCAAATATATCACTGTTTACATGCAAAGTAGGAATCGTGAGCATACCCATGTTACATAGTGTCAATCTTCTCCTTACTCTGGGGAAACGGAAAGTCAAGTTAAGAGAGTGCTTTATGACCCCAGAAAGAGTAAATATTCCGCCGCAACGAACACGCTTTCAGCGATGCAGCATAATATAAATGTAATTCATATGAGTGGATGAATAAATGAAAAACATATCATCACAGCACAATCCGGTTTCTTACTTCTTGGACAACTTTGTTTTGGTCTGGCAATTTCTCGCTAGTTTAAGTGGCAACTGACTAACGGTCCGCTCATGTTCGCGCGTATATAAATTTGTAATTCTGTCTGGTTGACGAGGTTGGTGCACATTCCGACATTACACAATGAAGTGGGTGACTTGTGCCGGCAATTACTGTTGACGCTAGTCTCTTACGAGAATCAGCATCCGGGGACACAAGCATATCAACAAAAGTTTGTTTTAACACACTGCTGCCTCGGAAGAAGTGTTTTAATAACCTGGAGATTAATCTGAAGTCTTTAGCCAATGGACCAAGAATATCTCTGCTAAGCAGTATATCTAGTGTGGAAGAAAAGAGGCAGTGATAAAGCTAACTATTAAATCATCGGGACATAAGAAACTAGCAGGCATGAGACATAGAACAATAATCTCTTGACAATTTTGTACATTTCGTTTATGATGTGTGACCAAGATAAATCGTTGCTAAACGTGACACCCACGTACTTTACTGATGTGGAATAATGCATCCCTTAACCATCGATGTTGAGTTCCAGGTATTTCTGGAGAAGCTGCTGAAATCGGTCTCCACTGTGCAGAGAGAAACGATAGTATTGTATTTTGACAATTTAAGCGGTGGGTTGCGGGCCTTTAACCAAAAGGCGAGATAATAATGGATATCTTCTAAGCTGAGTAGAAGCAGTGGTCGATTGATCAACACCCAGGAGGACGTTATCTGCGCAATTCATCAGGGTCGCGTTCCTAGGGATGGTATTAAGCTTGTACGATTAGAAAATAGAAATAATGACAGAACAGCTCCCTGAAGAACACCGCAGCTCTTGCCTCCAAATTGGGTAACTTGAGCATGATCTGGGAAATAATTCCTCAAGGCAAGGACGATAGAAAGATGTATACCAAAATCGTGTAGCACTTTTAGCATCAATTCGCGGTTTACACAGCCGAATGTGATGCATTTAGTCCAGCAAACAGACTCAGGTGTACTTCATACTATTGTCCGGAGATGACAAGATCCAGCGCGTAAGGCAAGCTACTGCATCTTGGGCTGACCTCGAACTGCGGTGGGCAAATTGAAGAACATGCTTAGACTTACGTTGTGTCAGCATCCTTTCAAAAGTGCTTTTTTACACACCTTTAAGGATAGCAAATTGAAAGCAATTGGTCGATATTTGCTTAAGCACTTTTTTGTTAATATGATATTGACTCTTCTCCATCAGTCGGTAATTTTAGTTTGTTGAATGCATAATGTGTATAAAGTAGCCAGTTTGGTCAGGATTCAGCACCTTCTTTGAGGACAATGGGAGAGAGTATGTCCGGATCTCTTGCTTTTCCTGAACGAATCCGTTTCAGCAGCTTCTGAATAATGCCGCTGTCGACAGGGTGTGGTGAATCTGCAGACAATTCAGACTAGGCAAAAAGTAAATCAGAGATCGGATTGTCGTAGCAGTTGCAAAGTCATGGTTCAGTTTTTCCACATCTACGTCGGACGTTCATGTACGTCGAGTAAGTCCGCTTAATTGTTTTAACGTCCTCCAGAGGTTACAGCAGCTACTATCCGCAAGTACAACCTAAACGCACACGTTGTTGAAACGGCGCAGCTTTTCCTTTGTAAGTATACAATGAGTTTACTAAAGTGCCGCTTTTTTCGTTAAAAGCTTCCTCTTTCTGTCTACCTGGCCGCTTTAGTTGGGGGGGGGGGGAAGAGAAACCGTGTGCAAGGATGAACAGAGTTTCTCATAGACAGCGAAACTCAGGATAGAAGTACAAGTAGCTTGTCAACTGATGACAGTACTTGGCTACAGCAGTGTCCAAAAAAATACAAGTTGCAGTCGGCGCATAACATCATTTCTCGCAGTCGGTCTATAGTCTGTACGGGACACTGCCTCCACGTGGACTTGAGGCGGTTGCAACGAGTTGCCACCTTATAGTTTATTTTAGAGTGGGTCACAGAACAGCTGAACTGTTGAGTGATCAGAGCTGCCTAACGGCGAGCTATTGAACACAGAGAACAAATCACGTTTATAGCAAATACCAAATCCAGAGTCGCAGGAGATCAAATGGCACAATTTGCCGCCTGTGGCTTGTGAGAAATGCGTTGTCAAATCGGTTATGCTCACCGGCAAAATACACAGCGAACAAACAATACGTTCCATGACAGCCGCAGTAAACTAATCGCACAATGCCCCTGCTTCATGTTTCGGACAAATGGGGGAAATATAGGTGTTAGACAGTAAGGTTGACCGATACGCGCTGATAAATTTTGGTTTGCACCTCAGAACTAAATAACTCATACGTTGAGAAGAAGAGCAAAACAAAACTTTCTTTAATACGCACCAAGAAGTGTTGGCGTAAATAATGACTCCGCCGCCACTTTTACGGGAGGTGGATTGGAGGTCGAACCGATGACGAGTGAACCCTTCTACCGATAGAAGTGCGTCATCCTTCGTCTCGTGAAGCCAGCCGTCTTGTAGCTGCGGATATTCTCGAGACAGTGCTACTTGACAGTTCGTGCACTTTTCTAAAAGCTACCGGATGCCTGCGGTAAGACAGGTTTGCTCATGCTTCCCAATTGTTTTCCGACCACCGCCGTGTACCTTTGAAGAAATATTGCGTTCTTATAAATTTGTTAAAATTATTACTTATAGCGTGACCGTTAGAAAGCGCACAGCTTGTGAGCGTGGAAATACATAGCGACTTAAAGTTATCAACATACAGGTCAACATGGCAACAACTGCAGCCGGCTAAAATGGTGACACTACGTTAGTTAGCACGAAGCCAAAAAGTGTGGTAATGATTTTTATGGTCACCAAGTGCGCGCTTTGATTTTCAGATCCCGATAACCTGTCCGCCCCGATTGTCCGATCAACAAATCAAGGTCGCAGGTGCGGTTTTAAGGCCACCAGATACAACATAGTTGCAATAGCGCATGCTACCGTTATTCATGGGGTTTGGTGACCTTGAACTCTCCTTGTTCTCTACCGTTCTTTACTTGCGAACACTAGTATCAGATTATCCCAGAACCATCATTTTTTCGATCCATGCCATTATTCCACACGGTCTCTGAAAAAGGGTTGTAAAACATTTGATGTCCTCTGATCCATTCCTTAGGTGGTGCTATTGGTAACAAAATTCCGAAGAAAAGAATCATAGAGCATGGCCAAATTTTAAAACGCCATCCAAATGATAGAGATTTTAAGTACAGTCAATTGCCGTAAAGTGCGGTTCTAGATGCATTAGTGCTGCCGAAACTCTGCTTTCATGATCTTGACGCTGTAGCTACAGAGGTTGATGGATATTGTCAGCAGTCTGTAAATCGTCGATGTGTATACGCAAGCCGTAGTGAGAAAGCAATCACCTCCATCCGGCTCTTATAGTGCACACCAACAAAAGGCCTAAGATCTTCTCTTAAAGGTTTGGTCTCCTACTAACGAGACTTAGGTCATGATGCGTAGGCTGATATGTTACCCTAAATGTCATAACTCTGATGGGGAAAAGTTTTACTGAGCCTGCGGTAACTGCCTCTAGTCAACTCAGTGGTTAGCTGTGTAGTTACAGTTTACTTCAGACGATCTAGTAGTGTCGGGATCACCAATTATCCGTGCTACTTGATTCGAGATGATACAAAATCATTAACATAAATGATACAATTGTACAAATAAATATGGTACATTAAAGAGAGGAATTTATCGCCTGTTGGGGTTTAATAGCTGTGAGTTCAACTCGGGTCCGGTACGGTTGCACACGACGACAGTGGCGATCTCTGAGCACGTGGATGAAATCATGTGTATTAGTTATCCGGTCGGTTAGTTATGTGTGGTGCGTTTTGCTGCCAAGAAAGTATGTCCGTTTTGTGAGTGAGTGTGAAATAAGGGGCTTCCTCTATCGCCCATAGTTGTCACGTGTTTTGACGCTCCAGACGGGTGATGGATATAGGTCAAATGTTGTTTTGATGACAGTGTGGGGAGCACGTCGTATAGATCATGTGGAGTGTCGAATGGGCAGGGTGCTGTTAGGAATGTAAGTCAGATGTAAAGGAAAATAGCAAAAAACAAATATTGTTGAAGTTATAAATGGACTTAACAGATCTGATGTAATTCTCGAGGTACCAAATTAAAAATTCGGCCATTAAAACTACCATGGAACAGAAATTTGCAAACGGTCTGAAGGTGTCTACTGTATGCATCCCGTCACCACTTGTTGATGAAAATTATATTACACTGTGTTGCCTACCTAGAGGCAAACATAACCAAGCCACTGATTGAAAGATCATAGAGTCAGCTGAAGATCATTATTACCTCAAAACATAAACTGCTGTACTGGTTACATATAAAGAATCTAGTGTAACTTTTGGCAAGCATTTAACCACATACTGGGATCAGTGAACAAATTATCTGAAGTTTGTGTTAATATTAGCTGCCAATGGAAGACTTTTTTCATCCGCCTGGACATATGGCTCAACCGACGATCGGATGCATTATTCAGCCAACCAACCAATCGTTTGAAAAATAAGCAAAATAAAATTGGACAAGTAATAATTTTATTGGCGTAACCTCCAATGTTGTTTGGCTGACAGGTACCCAATATTATATAAAGCTAAATAGATATAAGGAAGATTATTCAAGGAGCGTCAAGAACAGCATCCTGGTCATATCCAGCTGCTTGTGTATATATGCAAAACAAACTGCCTAATTTTCCTGGAAAAAGTGAAACTATGACATTGAAATAGTTTCTGTATCATACAGTAAACATACCGGGAGTTCTTTAGATTGGAAGAGAAACAGTCACCATCTAGATCGAAAGGCATCTTAACTTTGAGCAGAAAGCAGTTAAAAATAAAGCCAAAGACTCAATGAGATCTTTTGCTATTTCTATCACAGTAGGGTTTCCTAACCTACCCAAAATAAGTCCAAGCCATAACTGGAATCATTAGCTGTTGAGAGGTCTCCTAAATGCCGTAGCTACTTGGTGGAACCTCTCGCCGGGTATCGAAGCCAAACATGGACATGGAAGAGTTATGCAGTAACTTGCATTATTTTAACTGCAGCACACTCTAACTCGTCATCTCCTTAACTGTAATGGCTGGCACACTCATTAGGTCCCATCGACAAGGGCACTGTAGGGAAATCCCAGAGTGCAGCTGCGCTCAGCACCGCTCAGCACCATTAGATCACGTTCTAGGCTCGATGGCTGGGCCCCGTGTTGCGCACGCCAGCACACCGACTCCCACGTCGTGCTTTGTGTGCGCGTCCGGGGGTATGAATGAAAGAGGGGTGGGAAAAAGATATCTTGGTCAACAGGAAGGAAATCTCTCACTGGAAGTTGGCGTCGGTTGGTATCGACCGACAGCCAGGCTGGGGTCCGAAGGACATTGAACACGTTTGGTTGGGCACACTGGTTGACATGGCAAGGAGCCCACCCAAATGGCTTTTGGGTTGTGAGTTTTCGTTGTCCTTCCTCATCCCGTTTGTCCTCCTAGTCCAACAACGATCTCCTCCTTGAAGCATAATACGGTACCAAGTAGTCTGCCCCTCGTTTTGGTACATTTTATAATTTTCAATATCTTGCTTTTTCGTAGGTCTTATCTTTATGTGTCGCGACACAATAGTTGCAGTGTTTCTCACCTTCAGCTAATGTGCAATGATGATGATGCTGATGAGTTCCACTCTAGTGAGTGGTCCGGAAGAACTATCTCCCATTGCCCTCGAAGAATACATTAATTCTATGACCCAGCGTCTTGCTGATTTATAACCTTGTGCTTGAAAGGACACAAAATTGCTGCACTAAAGAAAGGATCAAAAAGTAGTAATTCAGGCTTGCAGTTTAGTTGACGGCCTTTGAGCAAAATGATTCTGAAAGAATGCTGGCCCAAACTGGCTGAGATGATCCTGTTCGATTTGCTTACAGGTTAGAAGTATACACATGACGTAAGGTTTTGCCTTGTGAAATGCATGCAGTTATTGACAGACAACAGAATTAAATCAGTGTCAATTTCATTTTTGAGCTAAACTATTAACTTTTGCTATGCAAATCGCGAGTAACTTTTGAGAATTCTGTTTGAGGCTAGAACACAAAAGCTTTCTTTCTACCTGTTGAAGGACAAATTAACCAGGTATACCGGGTTTGTCTGGTTTGATAGTAGATGCTTCCACCCACCTACCCACAACCTCGGGCCATTCTGTTGCCATTCCTACTTTCCCTTTACGGCAACTCAATACACGTCCTTGTAGAATCGTACTAACTGAATTATACAGGCAACATTTTCTTGACATATATTTAACCACTGCCTCATATGCCGAGTTACAAATTATTTTGTTAAAGTTACACTATCGTCAAAGTGTCCTGAGCTGTTGTTTATCGCACAAGAATGAACTGAGGTTCGTTTCTCGCAATACACTTTTGTCGCTATGGACAACTCCTAATCGAGTGCTCCCAATTTCGTGCATACTTTGACAAGTTGCACTCCTCCAAGTCAGTGAAGTACCCAGGTATCATAATTGCCCAGTCCTATTTCCAGCGCTTCATATGAATTCATTATTCACACACGTCAGGGAGCTTTCTTACTACGCTGTTTGCCTACCATGCTTCTCTGTCCTTTGTTATTTACTCCCGTGACCAGTCATTCGGAGTCTTTTCCTACTCTGTATTTTGCTCCCCGGTGATATTCCATAGTCTACTAGGCATTTTCTAGGGCATTACACTTGCCACTACGATGACCGTCTCAATATGGCTGCGTTTAAAAGCTGACCGCTACTAACCTTATTAATTCTATTTAGTTCTTGCGAAAGTCCTGTCTCAAAAATAGTAACCCGTAAATGCCACTAACTTTGGAGTGTATCACCTGGCTCTAAACCAAATTCGCCGTCAAGATAAAGTACACATTCATTTGTGCTCACACAGATACCTACTACTCTTCCGCGGTCCCAAATGTAAAGCATGTTACAGGGTTACAATTCAATCTATCGCAAATTTACTATCACAGCTACACCATGCGTCATTCATCAGGTCACATTTCGTGTCCATGAGTGTAATGTCTCAATATTTACAGTAATGATGCACGCGTGTCACAGTTGAATACTTAGCCCTTTTGGTTGCGTAAAGCAAAATGTTTTTTTCATTCGACCAGACTTGATCGAATCATATTCTGCACGGTAATGTGGTCAAAACAGAATTGGCCGTTAACATAAGGTCCACCAAACTTCCAAGGACTTGTGGAATAACAAGATGGTTTATTTTATACCTCTACTTAACATATTCATGGGTTATAGAGCACCCATTAATTCAGCGAAGCTGATTCTCCCAACATCATTAATACCTAGTCTCTCTCCAATCTCTGAACCAATGTGGTCCATGGATGCGCGCCAACGTGACTGGCCAACTATTGCCACCCAATCTTGCTATCATGGACAGACTACTAGCAAGTGGCGTAGATTTATGAGACTAGCAACAACTTACCATCCCTGATTTGTATTTGATGGTTCGACTATTACCGAAGTACACCGAGGTGAGGGACATGCGTGAGACGGTGACTTCACCAGAATGATATGTGCATCAGAATAACCGCTTGCATGGAACCATACCAATGATGAATATTGTGCTACTCATAGTAGCAGCTAACCGGCGCACTAAGCACAAGCTGCTTTTCAGTAACCGAACCTCAACCCATGGGGCTTCAACCTAAAGTTTCAGCTTGTTTAGAAGTTGGTACTGTATAAACTGTTTATTTTGGCAGTATCTTTGGCATAATACTAGTAGGGGTACTGTTACGCGAGCATTTATCCAAGGTAATTTTGCTCATTCCTAAGTTAGGGATACAGTCCACTCACGGAAAAGGCGAAGCTCTTATTGCACTGATTTCTCGTACAAGACACAGGGGTTAAGTACCATCAACGATAAGTATTCGATTCTCTTTATACTGATGATACATACTTATGCACAAGTGTTACATTGTATCCATGACATCAGGAAGAAAAAACGTGTGATGTGCCAGTGGTGAAAGAGAGTTGCGATGGAATTCAAAGTGATCCAAGCAGGATGGGGAGAAGACTTTCTTTGGCTGCCTGCCAAAGTGTTCCTTGGGGTCCATGGTCTGAATGCATGAACGTTTCCTGTGGTCGGCCAGGCATGATTTATAGATGGCGCGAATTCCCGGATATTGACTTCAAGCGAGCTTGCGAAGGATACCCCTTTGTGAGCCAGGTAGACACTTGTTGGCCACCTCCGAAAGGGAACTGCGACCCTGGTGAACTGAAGAAGGCATGTTTTGAAGAGCCACCCACTTCACTCCGACTGTGCGTCAGACCCCACAATGGAACCACCAGGTAAGTATATGTCCACGCCACAGTCTTTTTTATACCACATACCGCAGCATATAAGTGAAAAAAGTCAGCACATGTCGACAGTTATCAGACAAATGTCTTCTACTTGACTTACAATCGGAATCGAAAAGGCGTACATGCACGTGGCTTAGCTAGTTCTACCTAACCGAACTGTGTGTGATGACGACGATGCGGATATCCCCTTAAATTTAATAAACATTGTACAGTAACCGAGTGACAGTCTCAGGTTAGCTACTAAGGTAGCATTTTGTTGCCGCGTATACCACGCAGTTCAACTGGAGCAGGAAACAGACTTCTGACGCATCAGTAATTAGGTGAATTCAGTTGCAACAGGTCAGTTAAATGTCTTAAATATCCAGGAGTAAATGATTAAGCATTGTTAGTTTCGACTCCAGCGAATGGTAAGAAACTAGCAACATATTTTGTACTACGGAAGTGAGGACCTGTACAGGCGTCAGTTAGCAAGAGGAACCGATTTATTTTCTTACATGGTATGACGATAGACAAAAATTGTGCGTCAAAAATGTACCTCAAGCATCCAACGGCTTTGAGTATCCACTAACTCACAGTAGATGCATGGAGCATTTGACGCTTTCACCTTGTCAGGCAACATACTTAATGAGATATATAAAGAAGACGTAATTAAGCAGCTGCTTTACATGTTTGTTTGAAATACCGTATCTCTCTATCTGCTCGTATTAATGCGCTCACTTACATTTGTCCATCGACGATAGATATTACTTCCATCCATCTGAGAGGCAATGCAAACCATTCGACTATGTTCCTGGATGTCACCTACGGGCGTTAATGAGTGGACATGTGATTGGACTCACACGGAATGTGTTCGTGGATAAGAACAGTTGTGAAGAAATGTGCAGTGGTGCAAGTTCTGCCGCACCAGACGCTACAAGTGCAGCACGCCAGATGTTCAGAAGAGCTGCAAATGCATGTGCTTTGCCAGTGGACTACGGAACTCACTGCCTCACCCAGTCGCCCCGTCAAATGTGGCATTATGATGCGGCTGCACATGTCTGTTTGTCGTTTATGTTCACTGGATGCGGAGGAAATCTGAACGCATTTCCCAGTCTGCGGGATTGCAAAGAGTAAGTCAGCTGGTTATCCTACCATATGTCTGCCACTTACGAGCTCCTGGAAGCAATGAATGTTGTGATTTTCTCTAAAAGCGATATAAGATGGTAGGCTGCATGGAAACCAAGGTAAATATTCGCAACTAGAGTAACATTCGTGCTCAAACAAACTAGATAAAATGGTTGCCAATGCCATCGAACAGCCCGTGCCTAATGTCGTTCTCGCATTCAGGTGATCTCAGCGCTGCATTTTCACATTCAAAGATAAATTTTCTCGAGAACTAGTTAGCGTCGACCATTCTGGTAAGTGCAGTTGAAGTAGTAACAGAAAACTCGTAAGAGTTGAACAGAATGCCAATTACATTCTGGTCACTATACGTAATGCTTACTTAGGTATTTACAGTAATCAACCAAAAGTAACTAACCAAAGTAACTAAGCAAACCCATGTGAGCTAACAAAAGATGTTACCTGGCTCCTGAGTAAAAACACTGAAAGGAAAAGGTGTAGAAAATACACGAGGAAAATTGTGTTTCAGCTTGAGTACAACGTCCGTAATTTGACCGCTCAACGAAATTGACCAAAGTTGTCAACATAATGGGGTGGTCAACATACGGAGGTCCTATGCCACAACAGCGTAACCGTTGTCAGTAGTGTAGTATGAAGAATGAATGAATATATATATTTTGAAAAGTACGGAAAGAAGACGAAGGCTGGTAGATGCATGCATTTCGTATTGTCTCCTCAGTACCATTAACAATAACCGATAAGCATAGATATAGCTAACAGTGGGTGCAACCAGACAAGCTTAAGGTGCAAAATGAATGACGGAAGCTCAGCCTATTGGGGCCAACTCACACTGTGTATACCAATTTGTATGTGACTGCGGAAAAAGTTACATAGGCAGAACCAATAGAACGCTGACTTCCCGAATAAAGGAACATGTACCAAGATGGGTTCAACGTGAAGTTGCCCAGATTGCCTACCCTCGTCAGATTCCATGTTCGCGCAGACCGCCGGCTTCCTCGATAGGCAAACACATATTAGACTCGGGTCACCAATTAGAGCTGGGCTCAGCGTTTAAAGTTGTGTTACGTCACACTAATCCCCGCTTCCTTCGGTTTGCTGAGGCTGTCGTAATAAGCCGGATTAAGCCAGCCTTGTGTGTTCAGAAACAATTACTTGCCAGCCTAAAGCTGCCTTGGACGTAGGTGTGAACTTCCGTCATTCGTTTTGCACCTCAGGCTTGTCTGGTTGCACCCACTGTTAGCTATATCTATGCTTATCGGTTATTGTTAATGGTACTGAGGAGACAATACGAAATGCATGCATCTACCAGCCTTCGTCTTCTTTCCGTGCTTTTCAAATTGTTGAAGGGAACTAACTGCTTTGAATATATATAAATATATATATATATATATCAGGTAAAAAAGAGATTGCTTTACAAGTCCGTAGGATGGTTGAAGTGAAAGCAAACAAACGTGTAAATCGTCAATTTAAGCGTCTAGCGATTCAGATGCCCTGCTTCATTAAAATATTTTGGAATGCGTATTGAATTGTTACTGTAGAGTAATATGGAGACGTAATATGGGGAAGGTATGTCTAAAGAACAAAAGAAACGAAAAAGCTCACTCGTGCGCCGTTTTCTTGGACTGATGTAATGCAGTTGTATTATATTCGAACGATATTCCACAGCAGCAGCGTATATTTGCAATAGTCTACTAATAGACATAAAGCCATCAGAAAACATGGGACTCAAAAGAAGGTACAGAAATAATAATAAAACACAACACAACACATTAAAGTCCATGATTTCGTCAGAGGGCAAGATACTACCCGGTTGCCCAAGCCGAAGTATGGTGTTGACTTAGGGGACACCACCCCGAGCCTATGGCTGAATAGCCTGCCCGCTTGGCAGCGGAGCGAATTCAGGGAACCGCGCCCATTGGGAGCCCGGTGACTGATTACGCAGTTCATACGCCTTTCGTTTGTTCCTTCGTCAGACAGGGGCACAATGCTTCCCAGAATTACAGCATAAACTTGCTGGAATACAATACTTTGCCGGGATGAAGCAAGGGGCAGTGACTCTATTTAGTGGCGAGTCACGTCCACCACATCACAGTGTTGTTAAACGGACATATGTGGCTTTTTATAGGGAGAACGCTTGTCAGGCAAAAACCCACCAGGTCCTGGAACTCTACCGCTGAACAGTTTGCTGGAACGGGAAAATCCCGAACTACCCAGCTGGCAACCGGCCGGTGGCTGAGTGGTATGCGCTTCTGGTTTGCAACCATAAGGTAACTGGTTCGAATCCGCGTAGGGGCGGGCATCATCGCGGTATACTCAGCCCACGCGCGACTGGTGGTGATCGCGTGGTAGCGAAGCGCCGTCACGGCGTACAGCTGACGAGTTACTTTTTTCTATTTACCCAGCTGGGACCACGAGGAGGCTGTTCGGCAAGCCAACAGCAGCGTGTAACTAGTAGAGCACAAAAGCTGAGGATGAGCACCGTTTAGTCGCGTTTGGCTGAGGTAGACATCACTGAGTATATAGCGTAATGTAACTGAATGCGCGAATTATCCAGACGTCTTTTGAATACCGTTAGCTTGGGGGAAGAAACAACATATGTGGGAAGAGCGTTCCAGCGTTGGCACACACAAAGGGAGAAGAAATTTCGGCAGCATTCCAATTGGCTGTATTGTGTGGCTAACTTCAGTTGGTGTCCTCGGAGTGTGGTATTGCGATTCAACTTTAGTAGATGTGGACAAGAATAATTTGGATTCCTCATGATCATATAAGTCACTATCAAGCCGCCAAGCGGGCGTCGTTATTGTCCACTGTAGACTCCGAGGGTTTTCAGTCTCAATCAGTAAGGGAGATGAAACAGCCCCTTTACGTTCCTCGTCGTCCTTCGTTGTGGCAATTCAAGAGCGGTAAGGTCTTGCTTGCTAGCTGGTGGCATCCTGAAGTCATGGGGGCGGAACCCGACAGGAGTCCGCTGTGAGGCGCATCACTGAGGAGACACAGAAGGTCAAAATGCCGGCGTCTGGTGCTTTTCCAAACTACCCTAAGACTGCTGATTGGGAGTGACAATGATGAATTAGCTGAATTATACAAAGATCCTCACCACTACTCATCAGTAAGCTTTTGCTTTTGCCATGGCTGATAGGCGTGGATGACGTACTCAGAATGAGGTCGAATGTAGGCGTTGAGCATCTGAGAAAAAATGGAAAGATTAAAGCGCCCGAATGCCCTCCACAACGTGCCCTGGAAGTTCTGCGCGAATTGCTGACATAGGGCGTTGGCCGCCTCGGTGGCGGTTTGTGCTAGTCCACATAACATGTGTAAGGCAGGAATCCCTCACTGCATTTTTCGGAGCTTGTTAACGTGCTGGTAGGGGAACTTTGGTTTGAAAGGAATTTCTCAGCTAGATTCTGTTGATGCTGCATTTTATCTTCGCGTACCAGGTTTATGCAGTGATTCCTTTGGATGGCGTAGGCTTCCCATGTTTCGGCCCACGGTGACACCTTGTATCTTCGCCAGAGTAAATTCCTCGTGATGATACACCTCCATGTCCTGCTGCGTATGAATCATTTTACTGTCTTCGCTCTAGAAGGCCATTTCCTAGAAGCACTAGTTAGTAACGTGTTGAATTGGTGCTCAAAAGCAGACCAGCAAACATCGGGGGATTTTTCTGCTAGAAATGCCCAGCTTGTAGCATTTATAAGTTTGATTTGAGCGCCGTCATCCGTAATGACCTAACACACTCCTTTGTTTTCTGAGGAATACTCTGCATAACAGATGTAATTGAGTATGAGTGTTGCATGGTCGCTACAACCCAAAGGACTCTCTATCGATACCGTTTCGATCATAAGCTCTTCGTTGGTGAAAACGAGATCCAGGACACCCGGTTTGTTTCCCGTCCTGAATCTTGTTGGAGATGTGATGTGATTGCAGAGTGATATTCCACTAATTATCTCCTGTACTTCCATTTTGCAGTGTTTGTTGATACAGGCTGGGTTACTTTGATGTGAATATTTAAATCACCAACCAGGAGAATGTGGCTGTACGACTGTGAGAGAACGGTCTTCATTGTGGAGGCTAGGTTTTGGTCCATTTCCAAACTAGGCAACGGAGGGCGATACACGAGACTCAACAAACATGCGTCCCCACGGCTTAAGTGAAGACGGCACCAAAGTGCATCGACAATCTGAAATTCGGGGTCCTCGATGAGTTTGAATGCAAATCCATACCGGCACCCACACGTACGCGTGACGTGCGTGCTCCTGGTTCACTTGGATTATTCCTCTCTATCCCTTCTCTATCTTCTCGCAGGGTTGTCACTGTACGCTCATTCGAACCGCATTTACCAGCCCTACACAGTGATCCATCATAGTTGGAATTATCTTCTACGATTAAAGTCCGCGCCATCACTAACTCTTTTCACTGTCATCTGTGATTGAGCGCAAGCGGATAACTCAATCACATTTAGCCGATTGCCTTTCTGTGTGACACCATTCGATACAGAATCCTCGAGGCAGTCCGAAAAGCCTAACATTCCGATCGGGTGTTTCTCAACGCATCTGAGAAGGAATATGTGATCTCTCAAACTGTGTTCAGCGTTGTGTTTAGATACATTTACTACACGTTTTCTCAGTTAATTGCATCCATAGCGCTTTCAAACTTAGCCTTAAGGAAATAGTTTTCGTCCATACATCTTTCAGAACCCTCCTTAACGCAATCAAATATCATGCACCTGGCGCGAACGCACCAAAGCGCGCCCCTCGTTGGGTGACCAATCCCAACTCAAGCAATGGCATATCAGACTAGTTTACGACATGAGTAACCAGAGAAGTTTGGGGGTGGTGCAGATCGCGTGCGATTTCGTGGGTGCCCAGTCGCGCTCGAGACTCGTATTCAGGCATGATTGGCTATACTGAAGCTACACACGCGCTAGGAGGTATACTCGCAAAACTCACGTGGTGCCATCTGGGCTTAGTAGTCATGAGTGATCATG